CGGGCCGGGCCGAGTCGGGCCCGCCCTGGGCTGCTGTCTAGTTTTATACTCTTATCAATGTGAATGTTAGCATGTCAATGTGAATATTCACATTATCAACGGGCCGGACCGGACCCGTCCCGGGCCGTCCATGGGCCGCGGGCGGGTTCGCGCCGCCACGGGATGGGGGCCAATTTTACACTCCTATTAATGTGAATTTTAACATGTCAATGTGAATATTCACATTGTCAACGGGCCGGGCCCGCCCTGCCTCGCGGGCGGGTTTCGGGCAGCCCATGGGCCAATTTACATTCCTACAAATGTGAATTTTAAAATAAGAATGTTCACATCATTAAATTGTTAATCGTTGAAAAAATATTTATAAGGGTATTAAAATTAAATATAAGGGCATAAGTGTCCAAGAAAATAGTGTAAATTAAGAAAATGGACTTTATGGAATAAAACCATACATACATGGGACTAAATGGATTAAATTTTTTTTTCATGAACTTCTTAATTTAAAACACTTTTAAATTAGACTTATCAATAAAAATTCCTCTTTATTTTAATTGATGGACAACGTAGAGTTGATTATATATTTTTAAAATTCTTTGATGGGGAAAGGCTATAATCTACCTCCCTAAATCAAAGAATACTTTTCATAACTTTATTATAATGATTTGTGACAAAATCAGAATCATTCATAACTTTTTTCACCTAAATCAAAGAATACTTTTCATAACTTTATTATAATGATTTGTGACAAAATCAGAATCATTCATAACTTTTTTCACTTTTTAATATTTATATATAACCACACTGATCCATAAATAATATTTTATTATTATTATTATGTACTCTTATATAATCACAATTATTCGCAAATAATATTACAAAAAATCTAAACTTTTTTTTCATAATAAAAGAGGAGAGTGTGTATCATAATCTTTTCATTGTTATTATATTTTTATATTATTGAGTATTTCTTTTTCTTTCTTTAAGATTTATATTATTCACTACTATATTTAGGGGTTGTTTAGGATGAGCTAAATAAGTGTATTTTTTGTCTTTTTACAAAAAGATGTGCAGAAAAATAAAGAGGTAATGTGATGAAAAAAAGATAAAAAGATTGATTATTTTAAGGATGCCAAACTTGACCTCAATCTTTTATTTTTTTATCAATTTTATTTGAAACAAAACTGAAACCCCACTGTAAATTCATACGCCTATTTAATGGCGCCCCTCCCCCAAAAGTGTGTACCGTCCCTGCTTATACGTATAGAGAATGTAGTAATAAGATATATTTATGGTAAGTAACGAATTAGGAAACTATCCCTCAAAAAACAAAAAACAAAAAACAAAAAACAAATTAGGAAACTCTTTCAGTGCCATATGCAATGCATTTTTTTACTACATGTTATGAAAAAATTTATGGCACACACCTTTTCAAATATATAGGTTATATGTATATTTAGTTATAACTTTTGTATTTTTTATTACAATTTATTATGATATTAGTTATAAATTAGTGTGATATTAGTTATGATTTAAGAGTACTTTAGTTATAACTTATGTAGTGTTTAGTTATAACTCATTTATTTATTTATAGTTATGACTCATATAGGATTGAGTTATGACATTTGTAATAATCAAATCCACAAATGTTATGGTACATACTATAGTATTACTCACATGTGACAAACATTATATATTTTTTAGTAAAATTACAATAATTTATGGCTTATAAATGAAATTAGTATTATTGCAATAATATTATATATTTTTGTGATAATGTTACACATTTTTTGATTCAAAAATATTTCGATGAAAAACTATATGACATAACTATAAAAATGCATAATTTTCGTTTATAAATCATAAATTGTGGCAATTGTACTAAAAACTTATATAATAATTGCTAAAAAAAATGTAATATAAAAAAAAAAGAAAAAGAAAAAATTAGTGAAAAATCCTTATCAAACTTTGAGTAGTAGGAGATATCCAATATATTTTATTTTTTTTATTACCTAAGGTCTCTTACTACCAACCCAACTAACTCTCTCTCTTTCTCTCACTCTCACTCTCTTTACCCATTGAACCACCAATCCTCTATATACACCATCGTACCGTCGTCACTAGCCGCTAGTCTGACCACCACCCCTCACCACTGATCTCCCTTCAACAGCTACTCGGGCCTTAGATTGCACTTCATTGAACATCTAAAACCCTAGAAGCATTTTCACATACTTCAGAAGCTAAAATTTAAAGTAGTGACCCCAGTTTGGGGAACAAGAGAGCCAAGCGTATAGAAAATCGAAACTTTTCAGAGAGATAAAGAGAGAGAAACAAGAGAATTGTAGATCAGAGAGTGCTTAAGATAGCTTTAGAGTCTTGTCTTTTTCTTTTTTTTTGTGAATATCACTAGACAAGCAAATCTAAAATAGTGCTATATTTTGGAAACAAACCAAAACAGTGCTTTGTTACGAAGTTATTGTGAACAAATGCAAGGTTGTATTTAATTAATTCAATTTTCTTTTGCTAAATTGAAGCAAGTTTTTTTTGCTATTTCTTATTTGTGAATTTTAATTTTCTCTGGATTAGATGTATCGATTGGGAAATTAATTAAAATTGTGTTTAAATATGAGTTTGTCTGTGCTTTTATGGAATAATTAACAATTCTCTGTGATTTTCTCTATGTGTAGCATACGTATAAGTTTGTAATTTTCTCCGGATATTTATTTGTAATTTGTAATTTTCTTTAGACATGCAAGTGTGTGATGGCCAAAGAAGATTAACATGTTAGAGAAATTTAAGAGAAAATCAAATGTGCCAAAGAAATCAACATACAAGTAAATTTATTTGACTACATCTGTGGAAAAGTTTTAGAAAAAATCAAATGTGTTAGAGAAATCAATATGTAAGTAAATTTATCTGGCTACATTTACAAAAAAAATTTATATGTGAGTTAAGATTGCAAGTGTGTGATGGGCAAAGAATATCAACATGATGGCAGAGAAATTTCAGAAAAAAATCAAATGAACTATAGAAATCAACATATAGGTGTGTAATGTATCTAGTAAAAATCAAATACACAGGTACAAATTTCTCTGACTACATTTGCAGAGAAATTTTATAGGCAATTAAGAGAAAGTTTGAAATTTCTCTATAAAAATTGAAGGTTGCGTTTAGTGGAGTTTTTTAACTATGATTTGAGAATATGAGTTGTATTTTGAGTTTATGAGTTTTTGAATTATGATTTGAGTGTAGAAAATTTGTTTGGTGGATGAGTTTTGAATTGAGTGAAAAAATTTTGATGTGACATATGATATCGGATACAAAAATTTATAACTCATAACCAAATATACAACTTAAAAATCTATTAAAACCTAATAATTTTTTTTTTAAAATTCCAAAAATATTGTTTTATTAAAAATATAAAAATACACACAAGTGCAAAAAAAAAAGAAAAAAAAAGGCACTGTAGAGGTCAACCGGGCGGACGACCGGGCGGACATTTGGTAGGCCAAATTTCAAAATTTAAAAGCCCGTCTGGAACGAGTTTTCAAAACAAGAGGTGGAATTAACTTTCAAAAACTCAAACCAAACATCATACTAGAGTATAAAGGTTGAACTATAATTCCAAAACACTTCCAAACACAGTCGAAATTTCTCTATGTCGGGGTTGAAATTTCTCTGAGTTGTTATCTGAGTAGATTTTCTTTGTAAAAATATTGAGGGATCCCAATTACTATGAAAATATTAAATATCCTTTATATTATAAAATTTTAATATTAGAGACTTTAAAAAAAAAATCATACCAAAGGAATTTTTAACAAATTATATATATATAGAAATCATTAGATTGATTTCTAAATTGAAACCATAATTATAAAATAATTAATTTATTTTAATGTTTTCTTTATTTGGGTGAAAAATATTTTATGTATTTTTTAATTTTTGGTATAATGGGAAATAAAAATAAATAGAAAATGTTTTTTATGATAAATGAAAAATAAGTATATTTTAACATAAAATATTTTTTAGATAATTTTTTGACTAATATCATCACACCATTACTATTACTCTTACTTCTACTACCACACCACTATCCCACAACTATTATTATCACCGGTCCACCTTTATTTTATCACTACCATCATCAAATATAAAACTATTTTATAAATAAAATTTATCGTAAAATTTTTTTTTTATCCAAAGGAACGTAACAATTAATACGAAATTCAGCTAATAAAGGTTTAAATGGGTCAAATTTGCGACTTTTTCTCCCAACCTAATCAATATAGGCTTCATTTGGGAAGTCATGGTTTGGACTTTTTTGGTTATTTTAGCCACAAAAAACAAAATAGGTTATTTTAGCCATAACAAACAAAACATCACATCCAACCCATAATCATTACATTATTCTCTCACAAAAAAGCTCAAAAAAGTCAAAAAGCCAAAAAGCCATTTTCAAACCAAGCTTTTAAGCCCAGGATAAAATAGCCAAAAAGCCAACCCACTTCCCAAACGGAGGCATAGAGAGCCCGTAAACAATCAGGCGACAATCAGGTCACAACAAACAGGGGAGCTTCTATATGCACAAACCATATCTTCTCCTCTCACACACTTAAGTACGGTTTGGAAAGTAAAATTTGAGGTTTTTTTTTGATTATTTTAGTCACAAAAAATAAAATAAACTATTTTAATCACAACAAACAAAACATCACATTACACTATTTTTTTACAAAAAAAATTAAAAAAATCAAAAAATTAAAAAATCTTTTCAAACTAAACTTTTTAATCCAAACTAAAATAATTAAAAAAATTAAAAAATTAAAAAACTAACTCACTTTCTAAACCAAGCCTTAACGAGAAAATGTGTTAAAAAGTTATGTACGTGGATAGAGGGTGAGTTGTGTGTGTGAATAGATGCTCCAAACAAACAGCCCTTTCTATTTTCGGATAGGCCAAAATGCCCTTTTGATTCCTTAAATTTCCCTTTTCTACCTCTGATGTCCATTTCTATGTCCCTCAACACCACTCTCTCACCACTCACTTCTCTCTCACCACTCTCTCTCTAGCGTTTTTCTCTCGGTGCAGAAGCCACCGGAAAACAATGGAACCGGTAGCGCTCGACGGCGATCGGAACTCATCGGAGGAGCAACTCCTCTTGCGAGAGTCCAGCAATGGCGACCAGTCATGGCGGTTGAACTTCAATGGATTTCAGTTATCGGAGCACAAAGAGAAGCCTCCTCCTCGTGGTTTCCATGACTGTCTTGGGGTTTTAGGTAATTTTCTATCGCTTTCTCTCTTTACCTACCTATGATTTGTTTGTTTAAAAAATATTACTTAGCTCAATTAGTTGATTCTCTTTTTTGTTGCTTTTGTTCTTCAATTCCTCATCAGTGCCTTAAATTAGCAATATTCTTGTTATGGAAATGCTTTTGTTTATGTTTTTTTTTGTTTTCAATTTCTGTGATTCATTACCAGTTATTTTTTTTAATTGTTTTCAACTTTCGTGGTTACATCTTTATGTATATGGACGAAGGGGTTTTGAGCCTTTTGGTTTGGCCTGCCATGTAGTTAGGTTTTGTTGAAAGGGACATAAACCAAACCAAACCAAACCCAGCCTTAAGTCTCATCAAATGGTGAAAGGGACATGTGGGTTGAATTAAATTAGCACTTCGAAGGCAATAGATGTACAATTAGAGGGAAGTTTTTAATACAGTGGAAGGATTTTGATTTTATTTAATGATTTTTGGTACTTGATTTCAGCGTTGTAGATGGAAAAGCCTTACAATTGTAATCTAGAAAAAATTAATTTTCTTGATTGAAGGAAATTTTCAATTGGGGTCTCTAAAATTTGAGCGGATTTGCTAAAACAAGACTGAAATATTTGTGTGTTTTAAGTTTTTAATACAGTGGAAGGATTTTGATTTTATTTATGCTGTGTTTGGTTGGGAGATTTGGAGAGGGATTTGGAAAGAGAAAGGGAAAAGGTGTGTGAAATTAGGTGAAATGTAGGTACATTTTATTCACATTTCACCTCACTTTTCCCTTTCCCTTTCCAAATCCCTCTTCAAATCCTCCAACCAAACACAGCGTTAATGATTTTTGGTAGTTGATTTCAGCGTTGTAGATGGAAAAGCCTTACAATTGTAATCTAGAAAAAATTAATTTTCTTGATTGAAGGAAATTTTCAATTGGGGTCTCTAAAATTTGAGCGGATTTGCTAAAACAAGACTGAAATATTTGTGTGTTTTTCAGCCGCTCTGATTATACTATTATGTCTGTTTGGTTACAGAGAATCTTAGGGGGGGAAATACAGAAAATTGGACTTAAATTGTTACAAAATTTAATTATCCATTCCATAAGAAATTAAAAACTTAATTTAATGAGGTAAAAAATTGTAAAAGGCTTATTCCAGTGGATTTCTTTTTCAACTAAACCAAAATGATGGGAATTTTGGGTTGGAAATTTGTTTACGTTTAGTTTTTGTCTAGTTTTTGGTCAGGCACTTAGTTAGGTTTGGTTGAAAGGGACATGACTTAAATAACACTTCAAAGCCAATAGATGTACACTTCTCCGAGAGTACTAAAGGAGTGGGAAAGTTTTAATACAGTGGAAGGCTGTTGATTTTATTAAATGAACTTGGTACTTGATTGGAGTGTTGTAGATGGAAGCCTGACAGTTGTGATCTGGGAAAGGTAATTTGTTGGGCAATTGGGGTCTGTAAACGTTGAGTGGATTTGTTAGCAATCAAAAGTTTGGTATTGCTTCAAAGAAATTTATTGTTTTTGAGGCTGAAATTTTTGTATATTTTTCAGCCACTCTGATTTTAGTTTTATGTCTGTTTGGGTACAGAGAACCGTAGGGGATAAAATGCAGAAAATTGAACTTAAATTATTACAAATTTTAACTATCCATTTCATAAGTAATTGAACACTTAATTTAATGGGGCCAAAAAATTGTACTAGGCTTAGTTAAGTGGATTTCTTTTTCATCTAAACCAAAATGATGGAATTGTAGGGTTGAAAATTTGTTTACGTTTATTTTTTGTCTGGTCTCTCAGCAACTAAATGGAGCATGGTTGTAATTTCTTCTAACTTCTAAGTTTCTATTGCCGAAGAAGTGGAAGCATTTATTTGAACCGTGTAAGTTTGATACCAGTATGCTGGATACAGGTAAACAAAGATTTTTAACTTTTTTGGTTGCCTAGATTAATTAATCCACAAAGTGATGATCAGATTGACCAATCATATTTTTTCTTTATTCTCCTGTGTTTGGTCACATATGTATGGTAACCCCAAGTTGATTTTATGCTTCAAATCACAAAATGCTTGCATATGTAATGATGAGTTCATGAAGTGATGAAGTAATGCATTGGTTAAAATACTTGGAGACTACACAAGTCCAATTTCAGTTGTCTTGTTAAATGAATCCAGCTTCAGAAGATTCTGTGGCAGAATTTTATCAGCAGCAGGGAGAAATGCTGGAGGGTTTTAATGAAATGGATGCTTTAGCAGAGCGTGGTTTTGTCCCCGGAATGTCAAAGGTTTGTAATATTTTACATGCTCTGTTCTCTATGAAACAGTACTGATGCAATTTTCAGAAAATATAAAAAATAGAAGAGGCCTTGGAGTGAATAGCGAATTGTTTCTGTTGCAGGAAGAGAAGGAAAAGTTGGCTAGAAGTGAGACAACTGCCATTAGATTATCAAATGTTGCAAATATGTTTCTCTTTGCTGCTAAAGTTTATGCATCCGTCAGGAGTGGTTCATTAGCCATTATTGCATCCACATTGGACTCGCTTCTTGATCTTCTGTCAGGCTTTATTCTGTGGTTTACAGCATTCTCCATGCAGACACCAAACCCATATCAATATCCTATTGGAAAGAAACGTATGCAGCCATTGGTTAGTTACCCATCTTCTATTCAAAGTGTTTTTTCGCATTATTTGTGTAGTTATATATATGCAACTTAATATTCTGCCAAATTTGGATTCGTACATACTTGCACATGCTATCTACGTTGCATAGTACAAAGCCTAAAACACAACATCTATGATAAATTAAAATAAACTAAATTTTTGTGTTCTGCCAATATTGGGTCTTTGATGAGTCTGACTACAGAAGTTCTTGTCCTTCGCAATTTATTGAATTTTTCACTTTCAGATCAGGTGTATCCAAGCATGATACTGTGTCCATCTATTTGATCTATTTTTCTTTTTGATGAGATAGTGTTCTACAACACATACTTCTTACCTATTGGCTGATGTTTCTCTTGGGTTGTCTGCAACATTTTTCTCTCTTTCTGTTAGAATATTTCCTTATTTTGATTAGATTAGATTGTGATTGATTGATTGTGATTCCTTAATCAGTTAATCAATCAATCAATATAAAAGGTGATTCCTTAATCAGTACCTTAGGGTTTCCTTGTGTAATAGTTGATCGATTAATATAAAAGGTGATGATATTATAATCATCATCCAAGCTTTGTATTTTCTTAAATTACATGGTACCAGTGCCAAAATCCTAAAAACCGTCATCCACATAGCTGCTACCCACCCATCCTCCATCGTTGGTCCTGAGTCTCTGTTGGAACCAGCCAAGGTCCTACAAAGCTATTTCGGCTTCAGCCAAAGGCCCTTTTGGCGTAGTCGATCCTTGTGAGGATTGTCCTAGCCTTTCTTTGTGTATTTTGGCTCCTGTGGATGAGTGTTTAAGGGCTGCCCATCTTCTGTTGCTTTAAGTTTCTTTCCCTCTACTTTCTTGAACACAGTTTAACACTTGTTTTGATTGGAGGTTCATTTTCCTGTATTTGATTTATTTTTTGGGTCCATAGATGACCCATTAATCTGATTGCTATGCTCCTATAGTGATTTGTATATGATTTTACTCGTTTCGGCCAATTCCATTCCTCTTTCCATCCTTGTGATTTGTGCAAGGTTTTTTGGGTTGAAATTGTAGAGTTCTTATGGCTGACCTAACTAATGAATCAACCACTACTTCTCACCCATCTAAAGGGGAGGGCTCCAGTCCAATTATGACTAGGACATCTGAGAACCTGAACCATGACCTCAAAATCACTACTGCTCTGTTTAATGGTCAGAATTACCTTTCATGGTCTTAGTGTTTGACACTTTTTTTGAAGAGTAGGGAGAAGATGGGATACGTTAATGGGAGAGTTCAAGCACCAGCTATTACGGACCCTGGCTATGATCAATGGGAGATTACCAACTCTTTAATCATGGGATGGCTCATTCATTCCATGATTCCTGAGATTGGTGAAGGCTACTTATCCATGGATACTACCCAGGATATTTGGGAAGCAGTCTTTGCTATATATTCTCGAAAAGAGAATTTTTCTCATTCTTTTGAGTTATGCCGGTCTATTGAGCGGTTAGTACAGGGGGAGCAGACAGTTCTCCAGTATTACACCTTTCTAACTAATGGTTGGAAATGCTTAGATCATCTCCTGGATTACAAGCCTATCTGTATAGTTGACTCAGTTGGTTACCAGAAGTTTTTTGCACAGGAGAGTCTTCAAGTTTCTAGAAGGCCTCAATATGGAGTTTGATAAGGTCCGGAGTCGTGTTCTTGGCATGTATGTTCTTCTATCTCTTTAAGAGACCTTTCCATATGTACAGAATGAGGAGAGTTGTCGTTCTGCTATGTTATCACAGGTTACTGGAGGCCGTTCAACATTACTTTCTGCTCTTTCTTGAGATGGTGTTGGTTTGTCACTACCTCTTTTCCATCCTTCAGGGAAGGATACTGTGTTTGGTGATTGCTGTTGCAAGCCGTGGCGTACTCATGAGACATGTTGAAAGCTTTGTGAGGCTTCATCAGGGATCAGGTAGTCTAGAGGATGTGGTCCTAATCTATGGGCCCATCAGTCTAATGCTGTTGACATCTTTGATTTTACTTCCGCTTTAGTTGGTCTGATTTCGATAGTTTATCTAGCATGACTTTTCCTGAGCTTAAGGATGTTCTACGTTATTTGCTGGCCTACCGATCTTCTACTGCTCCCAGTACATCTTCCTCGTCGATTACCCGCTCAGGTAACTTCGTCTCTTCTAGTTCTTTTCTTTCTTGTAAGTCTTTGCCATGGATTATTGATTCTAGCGCCTCAGATCATATGTTTAGGTTTTTTGACCTTTTCTCAGCATATAAGCCCTCTTCAAGTCAAGACAAAGTTAGGATTGTAGATGGTACTGTTTCTTCTATCCTTGGGAAAGATTGAATTCATGTCACCCCTACCTTACCTCTGTCTTCAGTGCTCCACGTTCCTAATTTTTCTGTTAATCTTTTATCCTTGAGTTGTATTCTATGAAGCACGGACACCTCTTCGAGGGCTCCGTACCAGTGTCGGACACGAACACGCGTCGGACATGCGGTTGACACGTGTCCGACACGCAGCAGAGTGTCCCGTTTTTTTTTAAAAAATTTTTTACATTCGGACACGTTCAGGACACGTTATAGACACGTTTAGGACACGCACGGGGGCAATTTCACAATTTACTAAATATTTTTGGAGTCGATTTGTAAATAAGCAAAAACATATCAAAATTTGCCCTAATCACTTCGAATAGAAGAGAAAGGGTGAGAAACAGTAGAGAAAGGGTGAGAAAGAGAGGACTTGACTTCGTCGTTCGTCTGCTCTCCTCGTCGATCGTTGCTCCTCGTCGGTCGTCTCTCGTGCTTCATCGCTCGTCGTTAAGGTACGCTTCTTCTTCGATCTACGATCTTTATTCTTCTTCGATTTCCCTCAGTCGCTCTCTCTCTCTCTCAGCTCTTCTTTCCTTAGTCGATCGAATCCTTCTGATTTTATTTTTTTCTTTTATTTTTTTTTCTTTTATTTTGATTTGAATTTTATTTATTTTTTCTTTTATTCTGATTTTAATTTAATTTTTTCTTTTCTTTTATTTTTTCTTTTCTTTTATTTTTTTTATATTCTAATTTTATTTTTTTCTTCTATTATTTGAGTATATAATTTTAATAATGCACGTTTATTTTTAAATCAATTAAATGTTTATTTTTTCAATTAAATGTTTATTTTTTAAAATCAATTAAATGTTTATTTTTTTATAATTTTAATAGTGTTATTTTATATATTTTATTACCTTTATTTGATTTTTTAAAATAATTTTACGACATATAATAAATAAAATTAATTATATATATTGAACGTGTCCCCAGCGTGTCGTGTCCCCTATTTTTTGAAAATTTGCATTTTTGCGTGTCGCGTGTCATGTCGCGTGTCCGTGTCTGTGTTTCATAGGTTGTATTACTAAAGATTTGAACTGTAGTGTGACATTTTTCCTGATCATTGTCTTTTTCAGGACCTTGTCACTAGAAGGACGATTGGCAGATTAGATCAGCTGAACAAGCTTACTCATCATTCCATTCAGTTCCCAATCACCAAGGATGATTTATGGCCATGGCAATGGCGTCTTGGGCATCTTTCTTTCATTTACTTAGGTTTCTGTCTGTTTTTATAAACAATAATTTATCTGAGTTTCTTTGCGAGTCTTGTCAACTTGGTAAACAATATCGAGCTTCTTTTGCTCCAAGTTTTAATAAAAGTTTAGTTCTTTTTTCTTTAGTACATTATGATGTGTGGGGTCCATCTCATGTTGTGTCTTTAAAAGGCCGTAGATGGTTTGTTACCTTTATCGATGATTTTTCTCGTACTACGTGAGTGTATCTCATGAAAGAAAAAAGTGAGGTTTTTTATGTGTTTCAAAATTTTCATAGAATGATTTGTACTTAGTTTGGGGCAATTGTCAAAATCTTGCGTTCTGATAATGAGGGTGAATATATCGATTCGGGGTTAGAGAGCTATTTTTCCACTCATGGCATTATGCATCAGACATCTTACGCCAATACCTCTCAACAAAATGGGATTGCAAAGTGCAAGAATCGCCATCTTCTTGATATAGCTCGCTGCATGTGTTTTTCTATGAGTGTGCCTCGGTCTTACTGGGGAAAGGCCGTTCTCACCGCAGCCTATTTCATTCATCGTCTTCTTACCCAGGTTTTGCAAAAACAAACTCCATTTCAAATCCTTCTCAGTTCAGAGTCTTTGTTTTCCATTCTTTCAAAAATATTTAGCTATGTCTGTTTTGTCCACAATCATTCTCCTACTCGTGGTAAATTGGACCCTCGCTCTCTCAAGTGTGTTTTCCTCAGATACTTGCTTACGTAAAAAGGGTATAAGTGTTATCACCCTCATTCTTGTAAGTGATTTGTGTCCATGGATGTCACCTTCTTCAAATTTCAGTCCTATTTCTTGTCTTTTTCGATGTTACAGTCATCTCTTTAGGAGGAGTCTTGGTGTGAAGAGATTCCTATTGTCCCTATTGCTCTTATGGTGGAATCAGTTGTTCCTGCACCACTTATTATTGGGACTATAGAATCCAATGCGACAAAGGACAAGGAATGACAAGTTTATGTCGGGGACAAATACAGACAGAAAGTTATTTCGATATAAGAGACCACTTTTGCTCACCCAATGCCATCTCTTACTTCTTATGAAGTATGGGTACTGCGAAAAACATGTCGTATTCGTACCAGGTATTTACTGGTGTGTGGGACCTCGTATGGTATTTCTGTATACGTATGCGTACCTAATTTTTTTTTTTTAATTTTTGGCATATCCAGACGTACCTAGTATATATCCAAGCTGTGCCGTGCCGTGCCGTATCGTACCATATCTCAGTTGAAACAATATTTTCTTCTACTACAGAAATAAAACTCGTTACTAGACTTATTTTTTATTTTAGTTTTATGCTTAGTATAATTTTAAAATTAAATTATGGTTTGTAAGTTATTTAATATTTTGACATTTAATTTTAATTTATATATTTACTTTTGGCATTAAATGTTAATTATAGGTTAGATCTTAACAAAGTAAACAATTTAATTAATTTTTGCATTACTTTAAATTAAAAAGTAAATATTTTTTTACAAGTGTACTAAGCCGTACCCTATTTTTTTAAAATTATACTGTATTGACGTACTAGTACCAGGACTTGTACCCGTACCCGTGCTTCATAGCCTACTTCTGGTAAGAGTTCATGTAACTTTGAACCTCTTGTTTTTCTTGAGTTTACTGATCTTGATATTCCTATTGCCAAGAGAAAGGATGAGAGATCTTGTACTCAACATCCTATCTCAAACTTTGTATCCTACTCTTATTTGTCTTCCTCTTATAGAGCCTTTGTATCAAACATTTCCTCTGCCAGTATTCCTAACCATTTTTCAGGATGCTCTCACTACCTCTGAATGGAAAATTGCCATGATTGAGAAAATGAAAGCACTTCGTAAGAATGACACTTGGGAATTAACCGAGTTACCTAAGGGCAAACGATCGGTGAGATGCAAATGGGTGTATATTGTGAAGCACAAAGTTGATGGTTCCATTGAGCGTTACAGGATCGACTTATGGTAAAAAGTTTCACTCAGGCTTATGGAGTAGACCATCAGGAGACTTTTGCATCAGTGGCTAAGATGAATTTAGTCAGAATACTTCTCTCTCTAGCAACTAATTTCGATTGGCCAGTTCATTAGTTTGATTTAAAGAATGCTTTCTTACATGGTGATTTAGAAGAAGAGGTATATATGGACATTTCTTCTGGTTTTGAGGATCATCAGACAGAGGGTAAGGTATGTCTGCTTCGGAAGTTGTTATATGGTCTCAAACAATTTCTAAGGGTTTGGTTTGAGAGATTCACTCAGGCTATGCTTAAATATGATTTCAAACAGAGTCAGGCATATCACACTTTGTTTGTGAAACATTCCTCACGTGGTAAGACTATAGCTCTCATTGTTTATATGGATGATATGGTGCTTGTAGGCGATGATAGTGAGGAAATATCTCTGTTGAAGAAATATTTAGCTAGTGAGTTTGAAAGCAAAGACTTGGGTAACTTGAAGTATTCTTTGGGAATCGAAGTTGCTTGCTCCAAGGATGAGATTTTCATCTCATAAAGGAAATATGTTCTCGACCTTTTGAAGGAAACAGGGATTCTTAGATGTAAGGCCTGTGATACCCTACTGGAATCTAATCAGAAACTTGATGATGATGAAGGAGGAGCAACTGTTGATAGGGGGAGTTATTAGAGACTAGTGGGTAAGCTCATTTATTTATCTCACTCTCATTCTGATATTGCTATTGTTGTCAGTATGGTTAGCTAGTTTATGCATGCTCCTCATCAAATTCACCTAGAGGTTGTTATGAGAATTTGAAGGTACTTGAAATCTTTTCTTGAAAGGGCCTTTACTTTTCCAAACATGATCATCTCAGAGTGGAAGCCTCTACAAATATTGATTGGGCAGGGTCAATAACTGATAGGAGATCTACATCAGGATATTGTACCTTTGTGGGTTGCAATCTTGTTACTTGGAGGAGTAAGAAACAGAATGTGGTGGCTAGATCGAGTGCACAAGCTGAGTTTAGAGTTATGACACAAGGTGTGTGAACTTTTGTGGATCAGATTGTTGTTGAGTGATCTAGGGATGGGCTAGCCAAACTCTATGAGGCTATATTGTGATGACAAGGTTGCCATCAATATAGCTCACAATCCTATTCAACATGACAGGACAAAGCATATTAAGATTGATCGGTACTTCATCAAGGAGAAACTCACCAGCGGCATGACATGCACTCCTTTTGTGAAGTCAAATGAACAACTTGTAGACATCCTCACCAAGGGAGTTGGGAGTAAATCATTTCATGACATTCTAGACAAGCTAGACATACGAAATATCTTCGCACTAGCTTGAGGGGGAGTGTTAGAATATTTCCTTATTTAGATTAGATTGTGATTCCTTAATCAGTTAATCATTCAATCAAATATAAAAGGTGATTCTTTAATCAGTGCCTTAGGGTTTCCTTTTGTAACAGTTGATTGATTAATATAAAAGGTGATGATATCATAATCATCATCTAAGTTTTGTATTCTCTTAAATTGCATCTTTGGTTCATTTGATTTTAACTCTTACTTACTTTTACGAATAAACTTTCTGAGATCTGCATAAATTGTTCTATTAGTGTGCTCCTATCAGCTTCTCATACGTCTGTAGCATTTGGCTTAGCTATGGATTATGGCATGACTTAACTTGTTACTCGATTTGAGGGTTTAACAACTGTTGGGTACATATGGTATGACTTAACTTTCTGAGATCTGCATAAATTGTACTGTGGTTCTTATGCTTAAATGTACTTGGCAGCATGAGTCTGTCTTGTGTATATGTGACAGCATAACTTGTGCACATGATTTTGGGTACATATGGGGACATTGGCTTGTAGGTTTGCTTGGGTGTGGCAGAGATAACATTGAGATTGTGGAAGTTTTGAGGGATTGAATATGAGGTTGATGTAACGCTCTTTGGCATGGACACCATGCCATAGATAGTAATTCATGTATTTTAAAATGGTAGGACAAGGTAGTTTAAATGAGCCCCCCCATCTGCTTGAAGGTTAGTAACCTAATTTCACAAGCAAACCAATGTTCTCTAGTTCACATTTCCAGAGGGCTTAAAATGGGCATCCTAGCATCTTCACTAAAAACAATACAGTCCCACTTCTAGTGTCAGCTTCTTTGATTGTCCATTGAATTCATCATGGACAATCAGTATCCTGGTGATAATTGCAATGTAATGAAGAACCAGTTTTCTTAACATCTACGTTGGCTATACAGTTAGAGACATATTTACACTGCTACCTAAAATTCAAATGGTAATTATTGCATAATAAGTCAGGGGTATACAATTCCGTATTCAGATCATGTTGCTAAGGATAAGCTGCTTTTTCATAGTTTGATGATGGGGTCTCATTTTTCCACCCTCAGAATTTGGCAGTTTGTCCCAAATTTTGGTTCATTATTGCCGCAAGTGAATGTGCACAACTGCTATATGACTTGTTTTCCGTTTCTGATATGTTATGGTTTGTTTATTCTTGTAACTTATGGTTGATGATTCCAGTGGTATATATTCTCTCTAGATTTTGGGGACATTCAGTTTTCATCATGCACTGGCAGGGTGGAGCTGCAAATAGTTTTATTTTGAATTATACAGCATAGAGTCAGTGAGTTGAACATAAATTGTGCATCTGGCAGACCATAATAATCCTTCATTGGCATATCATCGTGCTTCAAATGTGGAATGTTCGAGTCCAATTGAATTTTGACCAGTCTATTGGCACAGTGCCTACTGCTTATTAATATGCGTGAAGCTCAAATTCTATATTGCTATTGTGATACTCAAATTCTACATTAAAAATATGATTTGTAGGGAATCCTTGTTTTTGCTTCTGTCATGGCAACTCTGGGACTTCAGATCATCTTGGAGTCTGTGCGCACACTAATTTCTGATGTAAGTGAACAGTTTGCTTTAATTTTAGTATGCTGAGGTTTCATTTTCATTCATTGAAAGTTGATTCTGACCTTTTGGATGCTAGGAAGTGTAATCTAATGCTTGATTCTTTGAATTCTGAACCATTCTCATAATCTGGTTTTATATTCTTGTACAATTAATAAAAGCCACTATGAACTTTTCCAGGATAATGGGTTCAACTTGACCAAGGGACAAGAAGAATGGGTTGTTGGGATTATGCTGTCTGTGACATTTGTAAAACTCGTTCTGGTTTTGTATTGCCGCTCTTTTACCAATGAGATTGTCAAAGCTTATGCACAGGATCACTTTTTTGATGTCATCACCAATGTCATTGGCCTTGTTGCTGCATTACTGGCTAACTACTTCAGTGATTGGCTGGACCCTCTTGGAGCTATCATTGTAAGTGAAATTAAAAGGATGCCCAACATTTATCAGGATGTTCTACTATTTTGATTGCAGTGTCAGGGTTGTTTATGCATGCACTCATGTTGTACTCTGGGGTATTTTAACATACTTTATGAAAAACTCCCGCCATAAAATTATGGCACCGTTTGGGAAGCAAGATTTGAGGCTTTTTTGGCTATTTTAGTCACAAAAAACAAAATAGGCTATTTTACCAACAACAAACAAAACATTACATCCAACCCATAATCATTACACTCTTCTCTCACAAAAAAAACCAAAAAAGCCAAAAAACCCTTCCCAAACTAAGCTTTTTAGCCCAGGCTAAAATAGCCAAAAAAGCCAAAAAGTCAACCCACTTCCCAAGCCAAACCTATATTTAATGAGTAAGATTGACTGATCCTATCATATTTATCAAAAAAAAATAAAAATAAAGATTGATTGATCCTTACATGTTTCGGCAATAAACATTTTTCACATTTAAGTGTTTAGTACAATGGAAAACAAGCTTTATTTGGGTAGAAATGTTTTTCACTTTTGAAAGGTGGAAAGCATTTTTGGGACTAAAGTGTTTACTGATGTCACCTCACTACCACTGCCACTATCACCACCACCATCCCAACGTGACCCCACTACATGTGCTGGTGGGAGATCTCTATTCTTTACATTAGTTTCAAGGTCGTAACCAACTAAAGGAAAATGTTTTTTATGAAAAATATTTTCTGCAAAAAGTTTTCCGCCAAAACAGATACTGTTACAAGATAGCGGCTCTTTTCTTTGGTGACTGTTGAATGACAACTTTTACCTTTCTTTATATTTTCCTTCTTTGTTATGTATATATGCAAGTACATAGAAATATATGCGTGTGCGCGCCCATGCTCTCGCTGCTTTGTTGTTTTGGGAGTCGAGATCCTTCCAACTGTGGATTAGAATTTCTCCTCATCTTGGCCTTAAATTACTGTTTCCCATGTCTTAATTTCTCATCCTTCACTGTATTTAAAATTTATATTTTCTACCAATTGCAGCTTGCCTTGTACACCATCCGAACATGGTCATTAACCGTGCTGGAGAACGTCAACTCCCTGGTGGGAAAATCAGCTGCGCCAGAATATTTGCAGAAACTCACATACCTCTGCTGGAACCACCACAAGGCCATTCGACACATCGACACTGTCCGGGCCTACACATTTGGGTCCCACTACTTCGTCGAGGTTGACATCGTCCTGCCAGCTGGCATGCCCTTGCAAGAGGCACATGATATTGGGGAGTCTTTGCAGGTGAAGCTTGAGCTCCTCCCAGAAATTGAACGTGCCTTTGTTCATCTTGATTATGAATACACTCATAAACCCGAGCACACACAAGCACACCATTAGTGGCATGATGATTAAAAAAAAAAATCATGCAATCATTGTTTATTTTGTTGCCACCTGTAAGTTTTTGCTTGTAATACTGGAAGTAAATCAATAGTGAGGATTGTTTTAGATTTGTCAAACTGAAGAAAGTTTGCAGATTGTATGCAAGTCCTATGCTTGACAAAGCAGTTTGTGAAATGTCCCCTGTTGTTTGTGCTTTTTGTTAGCAAAAACAACTGGCTCTATTGCACTCTTACCACGCTTAAAATCCTTCTTTAATCTATGTTTCCCAAACACACTTGCACATGTCAGATTATGTGCGAATTTCGATGTGCAATAATATTTTAGAACTTTCAGAAGAAGACGCCATGCCCATTTAATAGCTACACGTCTGTTTTACTGTGATGAAATTTGAGAGTTTTCAAGCTGAGTCAGAAATGTCTCTTTTCAGATGATAAGAACCAAATTCTCAAGCTAAGTTTTAATTACGAGATAAACTTATTTACCGTAAACTCAGAGGTTTACAGGTAACCAATGATTATGTGCCATGTCAGCATTAATTTGTAAGACAAGTAATTTTGTTCATGCATTACATACCCTGTAACACACCTGATAACCTCTCCCTTCTATTCTCCATAATGGATCTGTCTCTTCTTTCTCTTTTCAGATAACCGCTACATCCCTCCCCTATCCCGACAGCCATCACGTCTTTTCCCTTTCCACCCTCTCCCAGTCTCTTTTCCCTTCTCCTCTCTCCCTCCCTGTTATCTTACTCTAATTCTAATTTTTCATAAGGCATTATTTATTATTATTATGATTATGATTATGATTATTTTATTTTATTTTTGACTTTATTAATTGTGTGTTTATATAAAAATTTAATGTGATATTTAGTTAATTTAATGTGTTAGTTAATTATATATAATTAATCTAAATATTTATATTTATATATTTTTATATATATATATAAAAGAAATTATTTATATAGATTTTATATAAGATATTTATATATGTTGTATTTAATTTGTATTTGTAAAATATAATATAATAATAAATATCAAGTAGGCTATAAGATTAGAGGTTCAGTAAGATAATAATAAATAAAAAAAACAAGAGCAGCATCAACAGAGAGAGCGGTGGGAGAGAGAAGAGGAAAGGAGAAAAAAATTAGGTTTTTGTTTTGGTGGTTTTATTAATTCTCTAAGTGATTCTTTGATCTTTAAAAAACTATTGTGAGTATAAAATTCACTTCCCTTGATTTATGTTTAATTCGTTATTTTAATTTATATATTTCATTTATTTGATGTTAGTTTGATTTTGTTTTTACATGAAGATGATGGATTGATTTTAATTATTTTGGTTAGTTGTACATGCAAGGTTTAGGCTTTTTTTATGTATTTATTTTGTGGTTGTAATCACACTCATGATTATATGAAATTGAAATAAATTTAGAATCCATAAATATTGGTTAGATGATGATAGATTGATTTTAATTATTTTGATTAGTTGTGTATATCAGATTTAGGATTTTTATATGTATTTATTTTGGAAAATCGAATTTTTTTTTTCTTCTGCCTTTTCTTTCTCTTCCTTTTCTTTCTCTTCCTTTCTTCTTCTTTTTCGTTGAACACAGGAGAAGAGCAGAGGAAGAAGAGAGGAGAAGAGAAAGAGGAGGAGAGAGGGAGAAAGAGAGAGGAGGAGAGGAGATCGTCGCAGCACCACCGCCGTCGCCTCGCCGCCGCCGATCGTTGCAGCACCAGCGATCGTCGCAGCACCACCGCCGTCGTCTTTGGCCCCGCCTCCTCCTTCCCCTGTGATTATGCCTCCTCCTTCCTCCTCTTCCTCCTCCTCCTCCTCCTTCTCTTCTTCTTCTTCTTCTCTTCTTCTTCTCCGAATTCGAGCCAAATTCGAGCTACCTATCGGAACCGATTTATTTTATGGTTGTAATCACACTCATGAATCTATGAATTAAAACAAATTTAGAACCCATAGATAAATTCTTTATACTCCACCATGACTCTATAGATTGTTGTTTTATTTGAGTGATGGTGAGAAAGAGTGTATAAGAAAAAAAAAGTGAGGATTATGAGATTTATTTGAATGCCTTAGGTTTGACATTGTTATGTTTGTTATCATGAGTAGATGAGAGATTGTGTATATATATATTGTTGTCTCGTTCTCATGAGTAGACGGGTGTTTTGATTTACGCGTGTACGTATATGCTAACCAGTCGGGGAGTGTGGGTTAAACTCGGGACAATATCCCGTGCAAGTTTGGCTTATAGGAGGCACATGGGATATATGTGTAGGCCGGAAGTGAAGGGCCGAAATGCTGGAGTTAAGGTATAAAGAATTAAATATGAGTTTATTGTTATATTGTGAATTGTATTAATTTGTACATCTTGAAAAATAGTAAACGACCTCGATAAATTATGAAATTTGAGCAGAGGCATGTATACATGATTCTAGACAACTTTTGTGTTTTAAATTTTTATTAAAAAGATCGATTATAACTTGCAATCGGATGATCTTGGTTACAATAATTTTTATTCATTTTAGCAGTGTAGACCTTAGATGTTTTAACTCACGAAATGAGCTCATTTTTATTGGTTTTGCGTAAATTGAAGTAAAATATTATTTTGCACACTTTTCATATTTTGAACTTTTTCAAAAAAAATCATCTTAGGACAGTTTCTTTTCGTTTTCAGCTTCAGATTTTTTGGTGGAATTCCGTCTAGGTTCTTTTATTAAGTTTTTTTCTCAACTTGTTCAATTTCTACTTAATTCGTTCGCATTTCCTTTTAGCAAATTTAATTTTGTACAACTTTTGTTCTTTGAGTTTTGGTTAATTCGAATTATTTAAGAATGAAACGGTATATTTTTATACTTATTCAGCAAGTTTCTTATTATTAAATTATACTAAATTTTTTTTTTTGCAGAATGGTGGGTCTTACTAACTTTTTATGCAGGGCTGACCTACCATATTTTTATATTTATTTTATACTCAATTTATATTTAGTTGTGTATGGGTAAGAAACTAAATGTCACTATATCTCGGGAAACTACTCCTTTGTCTGGGTGCGGGTGAAACTACTTGTTATGTCCCGTAACAAGAATTAATGTACTATTTGTTAGTGTCTGGTGGACACGTGGGTGTCAAATCTTGTATTCATATCAGTATACTTGTATACTAATTCGTTTTGTCTCTTGGCATCTCGGGTGCATTCTACTTGAGCGCAGCTGAACTTCCTTTGCAGGATCAGTTGAGACTATGGTGGTGACAAGGAATAACTATGATCTTAGGACATGTCTTTTGGACTTTTAGTTTTCTTGAGTTTAGGGTTGATATTAGTTTATGTATTTATTATTTTTTATGACTTTAGTATTTTTGACAATTTGGCATTGTGGGTTGTTTTTCAACGTTACATTATTTAAGTTGTTTTGACTAGTTGTTACTACTTTAATGTTGAAGGTATTAGATAGTTATGAATCTATGATGAATAGTTTGGTTGGCGTTTATTAAATTTTTTTTTTAATCTCTTGTTATCTTTTGAGGATGGAAATTTATTTAAACCTTATGGAGACGAGAACGTTTAGATTTTGTTTCACCCATAGAATTTGGATGATGAAATATTAATTGAGATTTAGTCCTAATTTAATATTTAATTGTTCAAATTTTAAGACGTAACATTATTTGTCTAGAGCAGGCCCATAACCACATCCACACCAAAACTCGTTATTATCACTAAAGCCCCATTACCACCACCATGTGCTGGGTTTGTAAGAGTGGATCTACTAAACCCAGAAAATAAAACTAGGAGAAATTCAAATCAAAGGCTAGGACTTGTTTATGATATGATCCCACAAAAATCAGATTAAATACAGTCCATTGATGTAAACTTTTGATTCTTTTTTGGTCCCTTTTTTCTGGGACAGTAGAATTTTTCTTGTATTAATTACAAAGATCAATAATTTTCTTCAATGGTGGGAGAGGAAGGGGAAGCAAGATTAGTGATGAGACTTTAACGGTGGTGCTCCGGCGAATCGGATTATGTTGGAATTTCAATCTACATGCTTGTGCTGGGTTTGCTTTAATTGTGCTTTAATTGTAGTGAAGGCATTCGTTGTGTAAATATAGAGTTGGGCTCCTCTACTTGGACTCTCTTTCTATCTCCCTACTTACAATAGTAGAGATGTATCTCGAGTTGATTCAACTGTTTATAGTAATGAGAACGGGGCGAGGCGGGGCCGGGGATCACACTCCCTGTCCCCGATCCCCGACGGGGAACTTATCACCGCCCCTGCCCCCCGCCCCTAACGGGGATCGGGTTTCCCTGACCCCAAAAACTCCCTGGCCAAAAAAAAAAAAATCAACTCCAAAAAATACAAGAACTCAACTACAATATCAACATCATCGACAACAACAACATCATCTTCATCATCTAACACATTAAGCAGATCTGAGCTTCGTTGATAAAAAAAAAAAAAAAGATCTGAGCTTCATCATCTAACACATCATCTTACATATTAGATCATCAATAACAGATCTGAGCTTATTTATCAAAAAAAAAAAAAAAAAACAGACCTGAGCTCAACAACATCTTCATCTTCATTATTTTTCAGATCTGAAGCTCATCTTCATCTTCATTAACTTCTCAACAAATCTGAGCTCAACATCTTCATCTTCATTAGTCTCAGAGAGTAGAGGAGAACGGGATGAGAGAGTGAAGAGATGAGAGAGAGGGAAGACAGTTTCAAAGAGTAGAAAGAGGAGAATGAGAGAGAGAGAGAGTGAGAGAGAGACAAAGTCAAGATAGATAAATAGAATAGATATTATATTATATAACCTAAACACAATAGATATTATATTATATAACCTAGATATTATATTATATAACCTAAACACAACACAGTAGATATTATATATATAACCTAAACATATATATATACGGGGAAGTTTCGGGGCGAGGACGGGCTGAGGCTGGGGCCGGAAAATTTATCACCGTCCCTGGCCCAAAATTGATCGGGGATTTAATTTTGAATACCATCCCCGTTCCCACGGGGATATTTTTCGGGAAAAAACCATTCTAATCAGGGTCGGGGGGTCGGGTCCCCGTCAGGCCGGGTTGAAATTGCCATCCCTAACTGTTCAAATTTAGACAAAAAAAACAAATTTAAATTTGTTTTATTATTTTTAAATAATCAAATCTGAACCGTTGGATCAACTTAAAGTATATCTCCAACATTGCAAGTAAAGAAGTAAGAGTATCTGTATCAAGCTTTTTAAAATTATTTTTTAGCTAAAAACTTCAAAAAATCAACTTTATCAAACTCGTTTACAGCCATCAAAATTTATGATGGCTACAGTAACTCGTTACAACAAATGAGGCACTGTTCGTTACTATTTGTGTGTTACCGGATGTCTGGCCAAAAGTCTGGCCAGTCAACCGGTCAACAGTAATTTTTTTTTGTTGTTTTTTAAAAGAATTGTTTGAATGATAACTTATCAATTTAATAATAATAAAAAAAAATATAATAAGAAAATAATATTTTAATAATAATAAATTAGAATAAAGAGTTAGATATAATATGTGATAAAAGATGAGTAGTTTAAATAATGAAATACTTAGAAGTGCAAGACGTGCAAGGATAGGAGTCGAAAGAGAAATCTCGATTCAAGAAAGAGGTAGAGAGAAGATGAGTTTGGTGGCTTTGGGAACTAACTGACGTGGCACATTATAATTGGGTAACGGGACAGCTTGTGAGTCAAAGTTAATTGATTTTACAACATATATATAAGCAAATAGAAAGAGAGCATCAATAGCCAAATAAAACTAATAAATAGATGGAATATTTAAGTTTATCCCACATCGGTTTCAAAAGAAAGGATGAACCCAAAAAAGGGATATAAGTAGAGAGGGCCTTCCAACATTAAAATTTGCCTTAAACTAATGAGTAAGGAAAACAAAGCGATCGGTGAAAGCCGCTAGCCGCGCAGAACACAAAATTTGTGTGCATGAATTTATGGAGGGGTTATAGGCTGGCCGAGCGTTGGCGCTGCTTACTTTTGCAGAACTCGCTTGAGCGGGCCTCCCAACAGCCTAATTCCCATTCTCAAGTTTTTCTCTCCTACTGCAATGCTCTCTTTCTCTTTGTACATATTCCCTTTCTATACATGCAACTATGTATATTTATCTATTAATCATGTTAGAGATCACTAATTTGGTGGTTTTAAATCCAACACTAATTTGGTGGTTTTAAACCCACCACTAAATGAAGTGAAAAAGCAAAAAAAAAAAAAAAAACAACAGCAACGCGACATGCCACGAAGCCACCACTAAATGAAGTGAAAAAGCAAAAAAAAAAAAAAAAAAAGAGACAAGCAACGAAATGTCTGAACAAACAGCCACAAAGCCACCATTAAATGAAGTGAAAAAGCAAAAAAAGAAAAAAGAAAAAGAAAAACAACAACGAGACATGCTGTGGCAGTGGATACCCATTGTCATTGTCACATTATTAGTGGTAGCTCTAATTAGAACTCCCACTCATTTTCCTTTATCTATTTATAAACAAAAATATCATATTAATGGTAAGGATAAAAAAGAAGCCTAAGATCCTGACTACGATCCTGAAGATCCTGACTACGATCCTAAAGATCTTAACAAAGATATCATATTAATGGTAAGGATAAAAAAGGGGGCTAAGATCCTGAAGAGCCTAAACAAAGGCGTATTTATCTATTTATAAACAAAAGTATCATATTAATGGTAAGGATAAAAAAGGAGCCTAAGATCCTAAAGATCCTGAAGAGCTTAAAAAAAGGAGTATTAAGATCCTGAAGATCCTGAAGAGCCTAAAAAATGAGTCTGAAGATCTTGGAGAGCCTTAAAAAAGTAAGGATAGAGCCCATAGAGAGAATCACAATTCGAGAAAGAGGAAGAAAGAAGATGATTTTGGTGGCTTTGGGAACTAACTGACGTGGCACATTATAATTGGGTAACGGGACAGCCGTGAGTAAAAGTCAATTAATTTTACAACATATATATAAGCAAATAGAAAGAGAGCATCAACAGCCAAATAAAACTAATAGATAGATGGAATATTTAAGTATGTCCCACGTCGGTTTCAAAAGAAAGAATGAACCCAAAAAAAGGTTATAAGTAGAGAGGGGCTTCGATAATTAAAAATTGCCTTAAACTACTGAGTAAGGAAAACAAAGTGAGTGGTGAGAGCCGCGCAAAACACAAGATTTGTGCGCATGAATTTATGGAGGGGTTATAGGCTGGCCAAGCTTTGATGCTGCTTACTTTTGCAGAACTCGCTTGAGCGGGCCTCCCAACCGTCTAATTCTCATTCTCAAATTTTTCTCTCTCCTACTGCCATGCCCTCTTTCTCTCCATCTCTGCACATATTCCCTTTCTATACATACACATCTACCTATGTATATTTATCTATTTATAAACAAAAGTAGTACTTTGGTTGTCATATTAATGGTGTGTGGGATTTTTTCATTTTATTTTTTTACAAAATTAATTTTGTAATTATATTATAAAAAATTAAAAAGAATTGTTACATGTATTTGTCTCAAATCTTTGCTTACTTTAATTTTTGGATAAATTACAACTGAGGTTTATTTAAATTATAAATTATTTCTTGTGGTTATCTTCTTTGGTTTTAAATTACAAATTATCTTTTATGATTTCAAAAATTACATTAGGTCTTCTAAAGTTTATAATTTCATAAGAAACAAGTTATTTTATTAATAAATCATAAAATTTCTAATTTCATAACAAATATGTCATTTTATTAATAAATCATCAAGTTAATTAACAGTTTTTAATAATATAAAAAATTTATTTCAATTAATAATTTAGATAATTTTATTATTGTATAGGTGCACAATAAGAAATTTTATTTTTTTAATTAATTTTATTAAATAAAAAATTCTGACAGGAAAATATTTGTAATTTTTTAAATTACAGAATACAATTTGTATTTTAAACAAATTTTAAAAAATATATTTATAATTTACCCTTAATTTTTTATTGAGCTATTGTTGAACTCTCATCTTCTTAATAGGTACAAAAATTATTTCTTTTACTTATTCCACCACTGGGGATGATGACAGAAAAAAGTTTGGTACCCAACTCCCAAAAAAGGTTTGGAAGAGCATTAAAAGAGGAAGGTCGAGTAATATGGGAAGGACAAATTACAAATATGATTACCATTTCGACAATTTCATACTGTTAGCTATATATTTTGTAAAAGCCAGTTACAGTTCGACACGTGGCAGAGTAAGGGTAATAAAGGAAGGTTATTCAAGCCTTCAATCCTGATCGTACACGTGGCAAAAATATTGGTCCTCACATGATCTGAGTAACACTAGATCAATAACGGGATGCAAGATGACATAGCTTCAACGGTTACTCATATTCAAATTCAAGTACAAGAGGGAAGCTTAACTGCCAGTAATAGCGTAATGGAGCTACTTGTAAGGAAGCATGATCAGCGATCATGGAGGAGCAGTTCGACGGTTCGAAGTGCAGTTCGAAGGTCATCACTGACGAGTATAAATAGCAGGGCAGCCCCCAGAAAAGAGGAGGACGGAACTCAGATCATACAAATCAGTCATTTACTTCATATATTTTCTTTTTCAGTCTTTTACATTTCCAGTCTTTAAATACCTGTTCTTTAAATAAGCGCACTTTAAATACCCGCACTGCACTTCGATTCATAGGAGTAGCTTCAAGTGGATTCAAGTAGATTACTGTTGTAAACCTCTCCGAGGCTGAGTTTGGACCATTGTAAGTGTTCATTTTTATGAAATATTTCAATTGTTCTTCATATTACTGTTATTTCTCTTAATTTCTCCTAAGTCAAGCCACCAGTAAAAGCCCTCTTCATTGAGGCTGAAAAGAATTAAAACACAATCATCTGATAATTGGTTGGCAATCACAATTTCTGTAAGGACTGATTGATCCTTGCTGGCACGCTCACATTTACAAAAATACCCTTCGAAAAGCCAAAAAGCCAACACATACACCTCTTACAAGTTACAAATATGATTATGATGGAAAGGACAAGTAAGTCGAAATTGTCAGGTTAGGTGAGTCGAAATGGCAGTGATTGAGAGCTCTAGTAAAGTTGCTTTAAAAGCAGCTTTGCTGAGCTGGCAACCCTTTCTAAAAAAAAAAAGCAAAAAAAGACAAAACAAAGGGAAGAAAAAGACAATGTAATGCCAATTTAGAGTTACATTTTTAGAGCTCCAAAGCAATTTCTGAGTCGAAATTGTCAGGTTTTGAATGATGTATGAAATTGGATCACTAAACAATAATGCTTGAGATTATTAATTAGAGCTATTATTAACCCATGTTGTGCTTTTTATTTTTTTTTCACCTCACTAATAGTGAATTTAGAATTCATTATTTAAAGTTCTTAATCATTATTGATCACTAAATTACTTGAATTTGAAACTATGAATTCGGACATGAAACCTCAATATATATATATATATATCTAACATGTTGCCATCCCTAGACCACCAAATGTCCAAACCTCTTTATGCCTTCCTAAAATTTTGACAAGGACCTCTATCCTCCACCCAATACCTCCGTCCATGCAATACCCAAATCCGGCTTTAGAGGTGGTTTGAAATGATCTAAATAAGTATATTTTTTGACTTTTTATGAAATATGAGTTGGGTATGAGTTGGATTTGAAGTGATGCGGTAGAGAGGTGATGTGATTTAAATAAGATGATATAACTTAAATAGGATAGTGATTTTTTGACTTTTTTAAGTTATGACAAATAACACCTTAATATTCTCTCCTTTGACCACCACTGATTTCATCCAATACCCACTACATCTAATACCCAATTCTGGCTAATCTCTCTTCCACCTTTAATTCCAACAAGTATCACTGGTGGTTTGCCTTGTAATTTTTTATATCCTTATATTTCTACATAACATCTTCCTCTTCAAGAGCTCAAAATTAACATTCCATATCTTTTCAATCACAACATCAACAACACTATTCCGATTAAGAGAGAATGATCATTGGCTCTTCAGTCCACTCATTCAAGAATATTTATATATATATATATAAATATTTTCCTTCTTGTAGGATTTGTGTTGAAATTCAAATTTTCTACAACATTTCAAAGCCTTTCAAGCTTATTTGTCAAAAAAATCTTCCAAGCTTTGACATGGGCTATGACTATTATGAAATTATAGTGAAACCTTCTGGATGTGCTAATCACAAGATCTATGATTACCATCAAAATTCTTGTCCTTTCCATCCACAACTTACAAATATAACCAAATAATCTAACATGTGGAAAAATAAACAGGTGGAGGATTGAATGGATGTTCCACTCAAAAAAAGATTTCACAAAGGATATTATTATTCAAAGATATCACGAGTTGTGGGCTCGAAAGTGATACTCCCAATACAAACATGTTTAATGTGTTTGACATTTCTCTCTGTATCTAAATGTGATGGTAAAGTTGAAAGTTCCCCCACATCAAACGATGAGAAAGAGAAGAATCTAAAAGACAAAATTCATAGTTGAAATTGGCTTGAGATGGTTTCTTAACTGCTAACAATCCTAAGCCTGGCAAGGGTGTTTTGGGAAGATGCGTAGTTTTTTTTTGTGTGCTTTTTTTGTGATTTTTTACAAATGTATTTGGGAAGCGTTAAATAAGTATTTTTTTTTGTTTTTTTTAAAATTATTATAATATAGTGTCACATTATTTTTTAAAATTGTAAAATTTTTATTTTACCCTCATGCATATTTATGAAATTACCATTTTATCCTTCATTAACATTTTCCAAATGAAGGGTACTTCGATAATTTCACAAAATGATTTATATCCATCTTCCCAAATGTCCTTTAATTTAGAGTGGTGCTATTAGCACCCCAAAAATTCTTTGACTCCTCATTTCTTTGGATCTCCGCTTATAAATTTTGAAAGCCTTAAAATTTCTTTTTCCTTCCAAAATAATATCAAAATTTTCCTTAAACATTCTACTCATTGAATGCCACCTCCTACAACCCCAAAAAAACTCCCTTCCAAAAAACACTAACGAAACCCATTAAGAAGAAGAGTCTCAATTTTTTCAAAATCCACGAAGAAGAAGAAGAAGAAGAAGAAGAAGAAGAAGAAGAATACTATTTCTGCTGGTTTAACCATTGTCATAGTTGGTATTCTCTGTAACAACAAACAACAAACAAACAAGATTCAAAATAATTCAACACAAGTTTAAAATTCATTCATTCAATTGAAGCAGAACTTGATACGAGATCTCAACTAACAGGAATTGAGTGTCGATCCATTGATGGAATGTAATGCAGCAATGTTTGGAAACAGAAACAAAAATATCAAATTGAGAGTTTTCACATATATATGTAGAGATTGTTGCGAGGAATTGAAAGGTTAAGATGGCATTGATATTGATATTGATGATATTGTTGTTGATGATGATGGATGGGTGATGGCGGAGGTGGATGTTTTCATAAATCCTAATTCATGATTTAGTTGGTGTGCATGTTTAATTGTGACTTGGGGTGTCCTAAATTAATGATATCCTTTATAGTAATTTTATTTGAGATTATTATTGTAATAAAAAAAAATTAAAACTTGAAAAGTCCAAAATAATCTATAGGGTGCTAATAATAGCACTCTGAATTTACTCATCCTCTCGGATTGTGAGAATTATGGAAACTGCTTGCAGCTTGGACGGAGCTATGCTACTAACCATTCTATTTGAGTTCAATTTTTGTTTGACTAGTTACAACTCGTTCGAGAGATTAATTTATTATGTGAATAAAGTTACACTTAAAACACATTAAATTTTTAAATTTAAGGGCAAGTAGCTTATTATTCAATTCAGGATAAATTATAAATTTTATCTTTGGTGTCCGGATAAATTACAAATTACAAAGTTACCACCCATTACATGATCCATCATCTAAACAAAAAATAAAAATTAATTTGGTAAAAAAAAAAATGTCTAAAAAATTTATCAATATTACATAATTTTATCTTTGGTAGGTAGAAATTATTTTAAAGAATTCAAAATTTTTTTTTGACATTTATTTTTTTCAAATTAGTTTATATTTTATCAAATTGATAATTTTGCCATTGAAATTGAGTAATGGTATATTCAATTGTCCTTATTTGGAATAAGATTCAAAATTTAGGGTCAAATCTGTCACAATTAAAAAATCAAGGATCAAAGTAACACGAGTCCCAAACTATAGGGACTATTAGTGTAATTTGCCCATTTTTTTAAAATAAAAAATTGAGACAATAGAGCATTTTTAATTTTTAAGG